CTCGCCCCTCCCCCACTGAGGCCCCTCCGCTGGGGATGGACACCGTGTGTCCCCAGAGGCCCGCGAGGGGACGGGGAGGGGGGTGAGGGACTCCCTGGCCTGGAGGCGATTTAAATACCGGGTTGGGGGGAGGTGTGGGGAAGCGAGAACAAAGGGGGGCAGAGAGACGCAAGTGATGGGGAGACAGCCAGACGCAGAGGGGGCCGTCAAGCAGATGCGGAAGCGGCGAGACCGCCGGCACAGGAGGGGGTGGCTCTGCACCCCCTCCCGGCGCTGAGGACAACCCCCCCCCCGTGCCATCCCGGGGGCCCACATCTGCCGTGCCACCCCCGTAGTTCCTGGGCGTCCTGTGGCCCCGCGGGGCGCTCCTGCCTTTGTGCAGACCCCGACGGGGGAGGGGGCGCAGGCGAGTAAGGCCGAGCAGAGGGCGCCCGAGAGCGCGCACGGCGCGCCGCGCGCCCCCGCCCCCCGTCTGGCTGCCCCCTGCTTCCCCGCGCGGCGCGCTCTTTGTTCCCGCCCGGGGCCCGGGCCCGAGGGGGCGGCCCGGTGCCAGGGGGCGCGCAGGCGGGGGCGGCGCTCTACCTACGTGTCTTTGTGAAGCAGTGCCAGGCGTTCCTTGGGTACTTTGAGGCGTTGGGACAGCCTTTTGCGCAGCCCTTCCACAGTCTCGTCGTGGGGCACCGACAGGTCATAGCGGGTCCCGGTGGTGCTGTGTATCGCCAGGCTCATGGGTGCGGCCGACTCCGTGGCCGCGCTCAGCTCGCAGGCGCCGCCGGGGGCCCCGCGCCGGCAGCTCCGGGCGCCGCCGGGCTGCGGCTCCATCCCCGGCGCGCGCAGGACTGGGGTCCGCGGGTGGCCTCCAATCCTCGCCGGGACTCCCCCGCCCGAACGAGGTCCTCCTCCGCTCCGCGGGCGCTCCTTGGGGAAGGTCCCAACCTTAGCAGTGGAGCCGGCAGGCGACAATCCGAGCGGCGCTCCGGGGTCGCGTGGGCTCCTTGGGTTGCGCCCCGGGGTGGGGTCCGCGATCCGGTTTCAAGGGCGGAGGATGGCGACCCGGGCAGGGCACGGGGAGGGTTCTACAGAAAGGAGGCGAGCTACCCCGCTTCGCACGGTGCCTGGATCCCTCTCGGGTCGTGCTACCCCGCGCGTCCCTTCCCTTAGCAACAGCCGCAGCCGCCGCTCGCAAGATCTGGGGGTGAAAGTACGAAGAAAAAAAAAGTTATCATGTATCAACGTTCCAAGGGGCGGGACCACCGCCCCCTCCCATTCACTACTTACTCCGCCGGCCAGGCGGCGGCCAATCAACACACACAGGCCGCCCAGTCCGTCGCACGCCCGGGCCAATGGGAATCGCCGCGGGGCTGCCCCACGTGGCAGCGAGGCCCGCCCCCTCGCCCCGCCCCATCCCTCCTGCATCCAATGGAGACGCCAAGGGGGTTGGGCTGATGGCGCTCCTGACCCGCCCCCGCGACCCCCACCCGAGTCCAGAACCATTCATAAGGCCCAGAGAGCGCAACAAAGGGCGAGGGTAGCGGACCCCGGTCAGGAGGCTGAGAGGCCCGCCTCCCACCCTCCGCGGGAGCGCGGCCCCACCCCCCCGCAGAGGGAGCGCTCTGGAGAGCAGGCCGTGGGCCCGGCCATTGTTCCCGACTGAGAGAGGAACAGGAAATCGTGGGGCCTCCCCGCTGGCTCCGTCCGGGAAGCAGCGGCCTGCGGAAGCTGTCGCTGGAGCCCAGAGCCTCATGGCCAAGGGTCGCGGGTTGGGCTCTCAAGGACGGGCCAGTCCTCCGCCCCCATGGGTGGGCGGATGCAATGATATCGGAGAACTTGGGCGGGGCCCGCGGCTTGGGCGGGGCCCTGCAGCTCGGTGACGTGGCTCTGATTAGATCCGTCCCTCCCGAACCAGGGCCACTTCGCGTCCCAACCTAACCCATCCTCCCCTGTTTTCTCTGCCACCCCCCCACACCCCATCCCGGGTCGGCCCGTTTCCCGAGGTGCTCCCGCCCAAGCCGTGACGTGACGCGGCGTCCCCGGCTGCGCCCGCGCGCGCCCCGCTCCGGGCAGCGGTGAGTCAGCAGCCCCGGCGCGCCCTCTGCAGTCCCCGCCCGGGAGCGCTACCCGGGTCCCGGGGGAGGAGTGCCCGTGCGTCTTGCTTGGGGAAAGGGGCGCAGAGACTTGGGGGTGGGCAGGTGGGGAGGCTCCGTCGAGAACCTTTGCTTTTACGCGCGGAGACTTACGACCGCACGGACAGGGAAATTGAGTCTCTATCTGCAACTAGTTCAAGGTCAATGCCTGGAAAGAGGGAGGGGGCGTGGGCAGCGGTCCCAACAGGGCGGTGCCCATAGGACGCGGCCCCTCCCATCCCACAAGCGGGGGCTCCTTGTCCGGAGGCACCCGGGACGCCGACGGTTCAAAGAACAAAGAGTGGAAAGCCCAAGGAATCCTCGACGAGTGGGGACCCCTCTCCCGGTCCTGCGGCCTCCCTCTACTCACCGGGCACCGTCGGTCCTGGGTCCCCACTGCTCCAGACAACCTGTGTGCGGGCCGTGGCGAGAGGTGGCCGTGCGGGTCTGGGGACAGGCAGGCGGCCCCTGAGCCTTTATCCGCGCCGCCTTCCCTGGGGTGGAGTTTGGGCGGGCAAGGGGCGGGGGGCCGGGCACTGGTGACGCATCTGCCCCCCTGCCTGCTGGCCTGGGCTTGGGAGACCGGGCCGTAGGGCTTCGAAGCACCTACAGAACAGTCCCTCAGGGGTGCCACTGGCTCGGGTAACTCCTACCTCCACCAGTACTCAGGTGCATCTCACATTGTAGTGGGGGGGGTCTGGCCCGCTTCCCTGCCCCGCCTCCTTTCCTGTTGTCCTGGTGCTTCCGCCTGGGGGCGCCCGCCTTGGGAAGGGGGGGCAGGACGGGAAGGGGTTCCTGAGTCAGCAGCCTGGGTCCAGGAAAACAGGGCAGTGTCACCTGGCAGGCAGCGGGGTGCCCCGGACAGCTGCCTGATGGCCTGGCCTCCGCATCCTTTCCCGGTGACCTCAGAGGCCATTTCTGTGACGATTCAACCACCCCTGGCCTGCCTAGGCCAGTCACCTGTGTGACCTCCATGAGTAGCCCAGTCCCCGACGCACCCTGTACCATGTGTCCCAGGAGTCAGCTCGGGTCATTGGGCTTGGCAGCACGTGTCCGCATCTCCAGCCCCTCTGGGCCAATTACAAGGTAGCCAGACAAACAAAGGAGACCTCCTATGGGGACATTCTGCAGCCCCAGCTGTGGGGTCCACGCTGGCCCTAGCCGTTGGGGTGGATGCTTGCCCACCCTATGGAGCAGGAAGCCAGCCCTTTAGCCAGGAACCAGATTGTCACTCGAGTGGCCTCGGCAGAGGGCTTCCTGAAGATGAGGCTGCACCCTCCATCCTGTCCCCACTCTACTGCCACCTGTCCACTTATCCACTTATCAGGTCTCCTGCTTTATCTGGCCGGAGCACCTCTACCACCCCTACCCTGGGCGCCCCTCCCAGGCCAATTCCTTCCTGCCCTCCTTCGTGCTCTGCCTGATCACTCTGGACAGGCGTGCTGGGCCCCCTCGGTGACACTCCCAGCCCCCCAGGGTCACTTGGAGGCCCAGGGACTGAGGGATGAACAGAGCCTGTTCAGGAAGTAGGGAGACCTTTACCACCAGGTCAGAGGCAAGGTTGGACCCAGGAAGAATGTGATGGTGTGCACTGGGGCAGGTGAGGTGGGCTGGCTCTGGCAGGACCATTAGACTGAAATCCACTGCCCACACTTCCTGCTTCCTGGCCCTTCTTCCTCCATGGTCCACTGCCCTTAGGTGTGAAGCCCCAGGACTCAGAGCTCTGTCCAGGCCCTGCCCTCAAGGAGGTCCCAACCTCTGGGCGCCCCGCCCTGCCTGACTGCTGTCCCAGGACGCAGCACAGGGTGTCCTGTCCCGAGGCTGGGCTCCAAGCTCGTGCCTCCTTGCCGGAGATGCCTCTTTGGTTTTGGTGGGGGGTATGAGGGAGTCACACTAGAAGGTGTACTAGCCCAGGCTGGGCTGTTCTGAGGGCCTCCTGTTGACATCTGCCCAGCCCGTGTCTTTGGTTCTAATTGACAAGGCCCCTGGTGGCCCAGTCAGCTAGGACCTGGGATCCCAGCCTGAGGACAGAGGGTGGGGCCTAGGCAGGCCCTGAAAGATGACCTCAATGACCTCTGGGGCCCACACACCTCTAAGCCTGAGCCAGGCAAGGTGGGGCCCTAGAATGACCCTCCCATGAAGTATCTGGGAACACCCCCAGGCTGCAAGTGTCTGGAGGGCTCTGGCACACTCAAGCCCAGATCAGGCACATGTGGCCACCAGGAGTCACCCACACAGGGCCCTGACGTGTGCGACAGGCTTCACTCAGGCCCAAGCTGGCCTGCTGGCCACTGTCCAGGACGTTCAGATGACTGGTGATGGCAGGCTTTGACCCTCCTCACATTCCTCGAAGCCCAGGACTAGTGTCAGCCCCTGAAGGGGTGGGGTGGGGGAGTCAGCACACTACCTGGCCGTCAGGGTGGGGTTGGGGGGGTGGTTTAGAAAAGGGTGGGGTGTGCCAGGGCCACCCCACCCCACCCGGGGCCAGCTAGGGGCCTGAGTGCCTAAGGAGGTGCCAACCGCACCAGGCACCGGGAAGGTAGCCAGCTAGGCTAGGGCCACCCACAGGCTGGGTGTGCCCAGGGCGGGGCCTCCGTGGGAGCAGGTGGTACCTGCCTCTTCCCAGAGCCTGTGGGTGGAGCAGGGGGCCTCAAAGGGAGGGCCGTCCTCCCTGGTGGTCAGGTGCTGAGTCTGGCCAGCAGCGCTAGCCACACCCACCGTCTCTTGCCCATCCCACCCTGGCAAGCGGCACCCCAACAGCCAGTGAATCCCACCCACTGTTGTCCAAGTGCCTCTGGGGGCCCAGATACAGGAACCCCAGGCAGGGGTGGGGAGGGTCTTGGCTTTGTGCTGTGCAGTTAGAAACGAGAACACTCAGCTGGTTCCTGGTGTTTAATGGACAGGCTGGGGCAATCAGTGCCAGCTCTCCAGGGCAGCATGGGGATCCCGGGCTGTGGGCAGCCTGGGGGAAGACCTCCATGACCTGGCAGGCACGCACCAGGAAGTTTTAAGCCAGTAACCGGGGCACTGCTGCCCCCTGGTGGCAACTAGAGCAGCGACCGGCCGCACAGCCCCCGAGGCTGCCAAGACCTGCCTGTGGCGACGACCATGCCTACTCCAGGGCTTTCACCAGGGCCTCATTGGCCTCAATTCGGATCTGGATCTCCGCCCGCGCTGGCCCATCCGCAGCACCCGACAGTTCCGACTGCGCCTTCTCCAGGTTGGCCCGGGCCGCCTGCCGAGGGGCAGGCAGGGTGAGCACAGCAGTGCCACACTGTGGCCCGCCCCACCCCAGCACCACACCTGCCCTGCCCAGAGCCTCAGTTTCCCCATCCGATGCTCACCCCCAGGTCCAGCATGTCCAGCGTCACAGCTTCTTCAGCCAGTAACTGCACCGAGGAGTCCGCGTTCACAGTGATGGAGCCACTGCTCACTACGGAGAGATGTCAGAGACTGCTCACTATGGACAGAAGCCAGAGCAGCCTCCACCTGCCACTGTGCTCACAGGAGTCCTCCACCTGCCACTGTGCTCACAGGAGTCCTCCACCTGCCACTGTGCTCACAGGAGTCCTTCACCTGCCACTGTGCTCACAGGAGTCCTCCACCTGCCACTGTACTCACAGGAGTCCTCCACCTCCTCCCAGTGTGCTCACAGGAGTCCTCCACCTGCCACTGTGCTCACAGGAGTCCTCTACCTCCTAGTGTGCTCATGGCCAGCTGTCCAGGGTGACCCTGAGCCTGGGGCTCAGGCCCAGCATGTAAGCGCTGCAAAAGGATTCCTGGCCTTGGTGCACAGGTCATCCAGCCCTGGGCTGACCTCATCCCCAGGCTGAGACAGGGGACTACCAGCTCAGAGCCAACTGGGGCAACACATAGAGATGTCCTCTCAAACTAAGAGTGAAAGAGGAGCTAACGCTGAGGCGCGGTCAGTACTGTGCTTGCCTGGCACATGCACGGCCCTGGGTTCAATCCCCAGCACGAAGGAAACTGGGTGTGGTGACAAACCTGTCACCCAGCATGTGGGGTGAGGAGGCTCAGGAGCGCACAGTCAGCCTGGGCTACAGGAGTCCCCGCTGTGAGCTAAACAAAACAGGAAAGTGAAGGGGCTGCAGAGCTGAGAAGCCCAGCACACCTGCTGTGCGAGCAGAGTGGGGGGGGGGGGGAAGCCCAGGTGCCTCTAGTAACCCTAATGCCAGGAGCAGGCACAGCGACGGCTGCGGCTCACTGGGCAGCCTGCCCAGCCAAAAAAGAGGGCAAAGTCCAGGTTCAGGCCCTCCGTGAGAGGAATGAGGACGGGAGACAGACCACAGCCACCCCCTCATGAGTGCGCGCGCACACTTGCACACCCCTTGCCCGTGCATGGCCACGCAGAACAGACAGGGCCGGGGGCGTGGAGGGCTAGACCGGTGATGCTGGCGGCTCCCCTGCCTAGAGGGCTTCTCAAGGTCCCCCTCAACGCCGAGCCCCGAGACAACACAAGACACTCCCCTCCATCTGGAGAAGGGGCGACGGAGGGTCCTTCATCGGGCTTCCTCCTACCCTGCAGGCTAGCTCAGCCGCTCACTTCCCTCTATGCCCAGACGACCACATCTCCATCTGGGCGGGCTGTGCCCGCCTGCTGCCTTTGCTTTCTCCCTGGCCTGTGGGGGACATGGGCCCCACTCACCGAAGTATTTAGTTGTGGTGCCGTCTTCAGCGTGGACCACTACCAGCCCAGGCCGCAGGACCTGTAGTGTGGGAACATGGGAGGCCAAGATGCCAAAGGCTCCGGTCAGCGTGGGCACATCTACCTGCCGGACGTTGGCACAGTCAAAGAAGACCTGTAGAGAGTGTACAGCATGCGGTAGGCAATGCCCTGGCACCATGGCGACTGCGCTCTCCTGCTGTACGATGGGCGCATGGAGGATTTTTTTTTTTTCTTTTTGGTTTTTTGAGACAGGGTTTATCTGTGCAGCCTTGGCTGTCCTGGACTCAATTTGTAGACCAGGCTGACTTTGAACTCATAGCAATCCACCTGCCTGCCTCTGCCTCCCAGAGCACTGGGATTACAGGCATGTGCTGCTGTGCCCAACAAGGGTGAAATTCTGATGGGGCATGGAAGCCATTAGCCTCAGCTTGCTCACCTGTGAAATGGGACACCTGAGTCTAAGGAGTGTCTAGGTGGCTCAAACACAGGGCCGTGCAGGACAGGCTCCAGCCCCTGGGATGGCATCTTGGAGTCGGAGTTTCTGGGAAACCCTATGGCTGTCCTCCCACCACTCCAGAAAGTTGCTTTGAGGGGATCAAAAACCTAAGGCCAACCTAAGGCTTATGAATAGGACAGGTATGAGTTGAAAACCCCCGGCTGGGGTCTGCACAGGGAAGAGCTTTGGTCCAGGTGAACGCAATGGGATAGGGAGCCTGGCAATCCCACCAGTGCTGGGGCTTCTGTTCTGAGACCATTCAGTGGCAGGATCTGGGTCCAAAAAGGGGTCTGGGTTTGGGTAGTGGTGACTCCTGCTTGGGTAACATCTTGGGGACTCTCCCATGGGTAATAACTGGGATCCATGTAAATCCCCAAGAGGACAGGACTATGGGCCATATCAATCCTGGGGTCCAGGTGACACCACTTAAGCCTTGGGTGGAGGCTGGGGTTCATATGAACCTCAGGGACAAGACCTAGAATACAGGTGACACATCAGAGAATGGGGCCTGAGTGACCTCCACCCAGGTGTGGGGCTTGAGATCCGTGTGACACCCCCTCGGCTCAGCGGGCAAAATCTGGGTTCCCGAGATAGGAGACCTCTCCCCAACCAACATACAGGGTGGAGTCTTAGGTCCAGGCCTTTAGGGGTGGGGCATGAAGTTTCAGTGAAGACAGGTCTGGCCCGGGGTGACCCTACCGAGGGGGCGAGGCCCGCGGAGAGGGTTCCCGTGGGGTTGGAACTTGAGACCCAATACAATTGGATCCTCCACCCACCACAGGTTAAGTCAGGGTCTTGGCGACCCCGGAGGCTGCGAGTTCGCACCTGCGTCGGGGAAGCGAAGGTGAAGGACATCTGTCCGGGCCCGGCGGCGGGGGCAGGCGCGGCCGCGGCCTCGGCGTAGGTTCGCGCCTGGAACAGCAGGCGGCGCAGGCCCGGGCGGCGAAGCAGCGCGGCGGGCAGCATGGCGGCGGGGGCGTCCGTGAATCTCGGGCGGCGTGGACAGCGGACACACTGGGACGGCGAGGCGGCCTTGAGGGCGGGCGAGGAGGACGGCGCGCGTGGCCTTCTGGGAGGCACGGTTCCCACAGTACGCATGCGCGCACTACGGTCCCCTGTAGGCTGCGCGCACTGCAGAACGCGCTGAGCATTCTGGGAGGTGTAGTTTTTCTCGCCTTCGACCTGCAAACGAAGCCCAGGGTCCTCAGGACGAGGTTAGGCTGAACTGCAACTGGACACCCACCCGCCGGAGGGGACATTTGGCGCGGAAGGGATGCCCGCTTGGTGGCAGGTGTCGATCAGCGTAGAGGCGCTTAGTGCGTATTCGAGGTCCAAAGAAGAAACCTGTTGGGGGAGAAAAATTGAGATGTAGGCTAGCAGCCCGGTGTCGTGACGCGCTCTTGCAGTCCCAGCCGAGTGATCGGAAGGGGACCACCGAGCTCCACGACATACAGTGAGAAGTGCGCACCGAAATACATCGTTAAAAAAACCAAATGGAACCAATGTGCGATTAATCCCAGCTCTTCTTCGGAGGCAGAGGCAAACGGGGCTCCTGAGTTTGGGACCACCCCGGTCTACACAGTGGGAACTTGCCTACGCGTAATAAAAGTGGTGCCGCCGGGAGAAGGGAAGCACGCAGACCTCACTGCGTGGCGCGCACTCGGGCGCCGGCAGAGGGCGCTCGGAGCCTGAAGACGCGCTCGCTCTTCTCCGCAGTCACCCCCCCCTCCCCGTGGGCCTCCGCCCCCGCGCGCCGCTGACGCAAAGACGCGTGCGCGGGCGGCCGAGGGGCCCCACTGACGTCAGCCGTGTCCGCGCAGCCTCGCTCTCGGCCATGACGTCACCGCCCTGCCCCCGCGATCACGCAGGTTCCAGCCTCCGCTCAGGTCTCGGTCCCCATCCCCCACGCCCCGCAACAGAAATTGCGGGCTTAGATTTGGTGGGGTAAACAGTAGGGAGGCGCGACTTAAGGGTGCAGTATTGGACCTTAGGTGGGCAGCCGGCAGCTAGAGGGTCGTGGTCACTCATGAACCGGAGTCTGGGTGACGCAAGTGTAATTTTTTTTTTTTTCTTTAAATTCTCCAAAGCATAGCCCCTGGGGCTCAGACTTGCGCAATAGCCAGCAGTCCCGGCTTCAGTCAAACCCGGGAGATTCTCTGCCTGGTCAGTGGGTAACGAACACGCCCATCCTCGTACCCAGGTGTGTCCTGCGCACGTCTTACACACACACCAACCCAAGGACCCCGTATCTACTCGGTGCTCCGCGAAGCAAGGACCCAAACCTAGGACATGTCTGTCAGGTCCTGTCCGCTCAACATAGCCACTGTGCCTTAGCAGACAAGTCTTTAAGAACCTAACTAACCTAGGTGGTGGAGAGAAGGCTCGGCCGTTAATGGAGCGCTCCATTCCCGGCCCCCGTGGGGGGCAGCTCAAGGCCTGTAGCTCCAGCTTTAGAAGTCACACCCTCTTCCTGCCCTCAGAAGCGCACACACACACACACACGGAGAGGATTTACAGCATTTTAGAAATCCAGGATTGGTGACATGGCCTGAGCTTGAGGCCAGCCTCGGGTCCGGGTCCTGAGTGAGTCTGTGTCAATCCTCTTCACTGGGGGCGGGGCGGGGGGACTGTTGTCCTGGAGATCAGTATAAGCAGCCAACCTCCGTTACTTGACTGTGGGCCACAACAGGGAACCAGCAGGTAGGGCCTGGAAACATAGGCTCCTAGAATGAGACGGACCTTGGGTTTGAACCCAAGCACCAACCGGAAGGAAAAAAAAAAATCACTGCAAGGGGAAGGGTTTGTCTGGTATGAGTCATCCATGACAGACCTACGGACCCGTATGGATGCAAGTTAAAATTTCATTATACTCATTTAGTGGGCAAGGGGACAGCAAATCTTCGGCTGGCCAAGGACAGCTTGTGGGAATAGGCCGTCTTCGTTTGGATGTTGTGCCTAGGGATGGAACGTGGGTTCTTGGCCGCTGGCACCTGTACGTGCTGGGCCATCTCAGCACACTTTTGTTTGTGAGGGGGGTCTCATGCAGCTCAAGCTGACTGAGGATTCCGTGTAGCTGAGGGTGGCCTCGCACGCCTGATCCAGACGGTTTCGAATGCAGTTGATCTCCATCACAGCCAGTTTTGGGTGCAAGTTCTGAGGAGGTGCGGGCGGCAGTGGGAATCTGGCGGGCCTGTAAGGGACCCCGCAGAAGAGCAGCACGGGAAAAACAGGCGAGTTGCGGGACGTGGGGTCCCTAGGTCTCATGCCTTGTAGACCGAGGGGGGGAGGGGGACCCGCAGGCTGGAACCGAACACCCGGAGTGGCAGGTGACAAGCTGGATAGCCCAGGGTCCCCAAGACTCAGGGTCCCCAAGACCCAAGGTCCCGTGTTCCGCTGGGGGCGCCGCGCGCCCCGCCCGCGCTGGGTTCCGGGATGCTGCAGCACCAGGTAGGCTGAGTCGTGCAGCGGTGCAGGGGGGCGGGGCCGCGGGGCCGCGGGAGGGGGCGCCGGGCGCTCAGGCTCCGCCCCCCGCCCCCGCCGGAAGGGAAGGGGAGGCGGTGGCCAGCGCGCAGCGAGCCAGACGCGGCGGCGAGAGCGGCGGGGGCGGCCGTGCTGCGGGACCGGGCGGCTACCGGGGACACCGAGCCAGGGGCCGGAGCGGGCGCACCGCCAACGCGATCACGTGCGCGGCCCCTCCTCTCGCGCGCGCCACCCCCGCGCGCCGCTGTCTCCATTCATAAATTCTCCGCCGGCTCCGCGGCCACCGAGCTCCAGAGCCAGCCGGGAGCGCCGTGCATCCGCCGCCCGCCCTCCCGCCGCCCATGGGCCGCACGCCCCGGCGCTGAGGTAGGCGCGGCGGGCCCTGGCGACGGGGCCGGGCGGGGACGGGCGGGCCGATGCGCGCGGCCAGGGGATGGCGACCAGCTCCGGGGCCCGCCCTGACCCACCAGTCCTGTCGCGCGCGGTTGCGCGTGGCCCCGGGGAGGGAGCGGAGCGTGGGAACGGCCTGAGCCGCCCTGCACCCCGCCCACCGTCTGCAGCCCGGAGAGGGAGCCCGCCCATGCCCTCCCTCGGCCTCAGTTTACCCTAGTGACAGGACTAGAGCAGTGTCGCTCTGGCCCCCTGGATCCTCGTGACTCTGCGCTTTCCCCCACCGTATCCTTCTCGGGGGGCCTGGGGGGGCGCCCTGTGGGACCCCTATCTAGGCTTGCGGTCCCGCCTGCCCTCACGACCCCACCTTCCTCGCCTCGGGTGTCCAGCCATCTTCCTCCTCACCCCTCATTGCCATCCTCACCATGCCCCACCCCCCCTCCAGCCTGAACTGGTTTTCCGACCCATATTATGCGCCCCTTGCCACCCGCCAACACTGATGCCCGCCGGCCTCTGCCTCGGAGCGCTGAGGACACGTAGCCTTTCTAGGGACACATCTGTTCACTCCGCCCCCCCCCCCCCCCATTGAGTCCGAAAAACACTGACGACGCCGGAGCCTGCAGGCTCCTCTTCCGTGGGAGCGGGTTTTGCGTGCTCACGCTCAGTGTGGGAACTAGGGGTGGCTGGCCAGAGCTGCCCCGACACTCAGAACCTCGTCCTTCCCCGAGTGAGGCAGGTGCAGTCCTGAGTGTGGCCCCCGCCCCCGCCCCGCGGTGTGGCCCAGCCTCAGTTTCCTCGCTACTGGTGAAGGCCTAGTGGAGCAGCCATCTTGGCCACGGCTCGGGGCGCCCCTGTGGGCGTCCTCCCCCGCGCCCCCTCCCGCCTCCTTCTGCCTGGCAACCCGCCCCCCGGCGCGGCCCTGCGCACCGTCGCCATGGGAACCAGATTTTTCAGGCCAGGAACAGATGAGCGTCTTTTGTCCTTTCCACTCCCACCAGTGGGGGGGGCACGGGGACCTTCTCGGCTGGTGTCGTGACTGGGGGGGGGGGTGTCACTGGTGCAGCCCCTCCCGCGCCTCAGGTGCGCTGTCTTCAGTTGCTTTTCTATCTCACGAGACCCTGAGACACGAAGGACCCCAGGGCTGTCTCCTGAGCGTGCCTCGGAGGCTTCTTGTCCCCATCCCTCCGAGGGTGCTTAACATTTCCTGGGCATGGCTGCGCAACCTTGCTGGGCCGGCCACACCGGCCAGCCAGGTGGCTGGGACATGGGAGACCCACGCTTGACACAGACACACACACACACAGACAGCGCTGCGCACGCGCGATGCACCTTCTGTGGGTTAAAGATGGCGAAAGAGAGGTCCTGGGAAAAAAGCCCTGGCTCCAAGCGCCCTTGGGGGAGGGGAGGCGGGGAGGGGGGGGCCTCTGGCCCCACCTGTCCATGAGTCACCCCGGTGACGGCTGCTGTGCGCGGGGATGATGGGGGCTGGCTTGCAGGGGCTCCTGTCGGGAGGGCCGGGCAGAGCTGAACCTGAGCTGCCTCTCTGCCCTGCCCGCAGCCTCAGAATGCAGCCCACGGCCACCATGGCCACCGCGGCCGCCACCACCGCCACCGATGCCCTGACGACCTCGTGGGAAAATGCCACCAGCCGTCCCACGGTGGGTGACTCCTGGAGGCCAGGGAGAGGGGTGGGATGGAAACTCCTCCCTGCAGCAGAGCCCTTACACACGCAGTCCCTGTGCGCTCACCCCGCCCCCACCCAGGCGGAGCCTGACCCCATCTTGGACAACTACGTGCTGCTGGTGGTGGTGATGTCGCTGTTCGTCGGGGGCACGCTCGTAGTGCTGTCTGGCGTTCTTCTGCTCTGCAAACGCTGCTGGGAGGTGCACCAGCGCTTCAACAGGTGCATGCCCTCGGAGCCTCTCGGGGAGGCGCCCAGGTGCCCGCAGAACCTCCTAGGTGGGCGTCCCCAACCCTGCTCACCCTTCGCCTGTCTTCCTCAGGGCCATGGAGGAAGCGGAGAAGACCACCACCACCTACCTGGACAACGGCACCCACCCCATACAAGGTGAGGGGCCCGCGCGGCCTGGCCTGCAGCACCCCTCGCTGCGCTTGACTGTGCCTCCCGCCGCGCCCCGCCCCTCGGTCCCCTGCCCGCCCCCTCGGGCCGCCTGACGGTCTGTCTGTCTGTCTCCCCCACCAGACTGGGCGCAGTTCGAGT